CAATTGCACTCATCTCACATGCTAGCAAAGTAATGCTCAAAATTCTTCAAACTAGGCTTCAACAGTACATGATGTGAACAGAGAACTTCCAGATGTTCAAGCTGGTTTTAGAAAATGCAGAGGAACCAGAGATCAAACTGCCAACATCTGTTGTATCATGGAAAGAGCACGAGAGTTCCAGAAAAATATCTGCTTTATTGACTATGCCAAAGCCTTTGTATAGATCACAACAAACTCTGGAAAACTCTTAAAGAGATGGGAATACTAGACCACCTTACCTGCCTCCTAAGAAATCTGTATGCAGGTCAAGAAGCAACAGAACTGGAGGTGGAACAATGGACTAGTTCAAAATTGGGAAAGTAGTATGTCAAGGCTGTATATTGTCACCCTGCTTATTTAACATATATGCAGAGTACATCATGTGAAATCCAAGGCTGGATAAAGCACAAGCCAGAATCAAGATTGCTGGGAAAAATATCAATAACCTCAAATATGCAGATGACACCACCCTTATGGCAGGAATTGAAGAGGAACTACAGAGTCTCTTGATGAAAGTCAAAGAGGAGAGTAAAAAAGCTGGCCTAAAACTCAACATTCAAATAATGAAGGTCATGGCATCTGGTCCCATCGCTTCAAGGCAAATAGATGGGGAAACAGTGGAAACAGTGAGAGACTTTAATTTCTTGGGCTCCAAAATCACTGCAGATGGTGACTTCAGTCATGAAAGTAAAGGATGTTTCCTCCTTGGAAGAAAAGCTATGACCAACCTAGACAGCATATAAAAAAGCTGAGACGTTACTTTGCCAACAAAGGTCCATCTAGTCAAAGCTATGGTTTTTCCAGTAGTCATGTATGGATGTGAGTCATGTATGGGGCTGGCACATAAAGAAAGCTGAGTGCCAAAGAACTGATGCTTTCTAACTGTGGTGTTGGAGAAGACTCTTGAGAGTCCCTTGGACTGCAAAGAGATCGAACTGGTCAATCCTAAAGGAAATCATCCTAAATATTCAATGGAAGGAATAATGCTGAAGCTGAAGCTCCAATACTCTGGCCACATGATGCAAAGAACTGACTCACTGGAAAAGACCCTGATGCTGGGAAAGATTGAAGGCAGGAGGAGAAAGGGGACGACAGAGGATGAGATGGTTGGATGTCATCACTGATTCCATGAACATGAGTTTGAGCATGCTCCAGGAGTTGGTGATGTACTGGGAAGCCTGGTGTGCTGCAGTCCATGGGCTGACTGAACTGAACTGAGTGACTGAACTGAACTGCATACTATTTGAAGTGTGATTTTAGTAACTAAAATTACTAGTTAAAATATCTATTTCACCAATTTATCTCTCCTCTCAACAATTAATGTTTAATATACCTCTGTGCTTTACCCCTTCAATTTACAAACAAAACAGTCCTCAAGTCATAAAGTTTAAAATACATTCCCTCATTTAAAAAAAAATAAGTGAAACTATTCAAAACTTCAAAGTTTGTGTTAAGCATTTGAACTTTAGGACTTTTTGTATTCAAATTCCTTTAAAATGATTTTTATCTGTGCCTCAATGATATTTAAAAGTTCCTGCCTGTGTTTTACAATGGAGGAGTTAAAACTGGTATTTAATTACCAGAGTATCCCTCTAACTCTTCTATCTCTCTTTGTGTATTCAGAATGGGAAAAAATGTTTTAAATATTGTGCTCCAGGTCAGGCAACCAATTGTGTTAAGTTGTATGAATCCTTCAGAATGGTTAATGCAGCTTTCCTGACTGGAATGGTTTTGAAGGTGATCATTCTCTTTATCATTAATGCCTCTTCCATGCATATATAATAGTTTTTTTCTGATTAAGTTTGGCAAAATAATCCATGATTCAATGCTAGACTGTCATCTTAGACCACCTTTCTTGATTTTAACCTTACACTCGGATAACATTTCAAAAGTCCTGTGAATAAGTATTTTTCCATTTAAGGCTACAAGGAATTCATTATTCATGTCATTCTTAGTTTTTTTAAATCTAATTAATGATCTCAACAAAGCACTCTTAGATTCCTTTAAAATTTCTAAGTTTTGTAAGCACCTCTTTTTGCTGATACCTATCTCTCAAAGGAGACCATTTAAAAGATTATTAACTGAAAATCTGAATACAGATATATTTCACCTATGATATCCATCTACCCAAGTCAAGGCTGAAGTCTGGATCTAAATTATATAAAAAATTGTTCACTTCTCCAATTCCACGTAGGTAGATCACAGAATGGATTCTGGAGCCATACTGTAGCAATTTGAATCCTAGTGCTGCCAGTTCAAACAGTGTGTGACTATGGGAAGGTTACTAAGTTTCTGTATCTTCAATTTCTATAAAATATGCCTAGTAAGAGTGCCCACCTTATGGGGCTGTTTGAGGGATAAAATGAGTTAATGGATATAAAATATGTAGAATACTATCTGATATGTAGTAACACATAGATGTTAATATTACCTAAGTTTCATTTGTGTTGAATTGACAAAAGGAACCAAAAATAGCTCATTTGCAACACTATTTCTATGTCAACATGTAGGAATAAGTAAACAAAATCTAGTTTGAATTTTGTCCTGAACTCTTTAACTTGAATCGAACTAAAACTCTGCTGCTACTGCTAAGTCACTTCAGTCGTGTCCTACTATAGTATAAAACAATTTTTTGTTTTGTTCAGGAAATTTGCTTTCCATTTATATCTAAAAGAATATTCTTTTTTGCTGTATGTTTATTTTTTTCTTTTCACTTCATGTTGATATGGACATGAATTTGAGCAAACTTTGGGAGATAGTGAAGGACAGGGAAGCCTGGCATGCTGTAGTCCATGGGGTTGCAAAGAGTTGGACATGACTTAGTGACTGAAGAACAACAATGTTGATATATATTTCTCTGATTTGCCCTAAATGTGGAAGAAAATTCTAAACTATATTAATAGTATAATAGTTATTATTGCTATATCTCTTACAATAGGAATTAACAGAACTAGAAAAATGTAAATTTAGTTGAGCAGTGCTTAGCACATATTATACTCTCATCTCTAAGAATTCTGTTTTCAGTGTCAGACATGTTCATGACTGAATGCATGATGTGACAATAACCTAATATAGGTAGAAACACAATGATTAGAGTTGATTAATTAATTTACCCAATTGACATTTACTGAATGACTACTATTGTTCAGGTTTCTTTCAAAAATAATTTTTCCTGGAACTCTCCTGGCAGTCCAGTGGTTAAGACTCAACATTTCCACCGCATGAGGCATGGATTCAATCCATGGTTGGGGAACTAAGATGCTGCATGCATGTGGTGCAGCCAAAAATATTTATTTCCCTGATACTTTCTATCATATTCATGTCAATGTATGGCAAAAACCACTACAATATTGTAAAGTAATTAGCCTCCAACTAATAAAAATAAATGAAAAAAAACTTAAGATCACTGACATGCTTTTAAAATAATGCATTCAATGTGAATTTTAATTTATGAACTTAAATTACAAGATATTTAAGGAGGAGAAATCCCAAATAAATGGTACTCCATTCCATATACTAATTGTAACTAGTAAACTGGTTAATTGTTTCTCAGTTAACTTACTGTATCAGAGAAATCAGGATGGTTGTACACTGTGCTGAAATCCATTTGATAAACAAGTCTTTCCTCTTCACCACATATGAGTAGACAAAGCTTGAGGCACCCTTTGTTCACAGATTAAAATGTTTCAAATCATAGCTCCCTGTCTTCTGCAAATTGGGTAGTCAAGGAATATGATATCTAGGAAACAAAGGGTCAGCGTGGTGAGAAGGAAACTCATAAGTTACAGATATCTATTGAGCTAAATCAGCTTAAAGCCTTTTTCTTAATAAAATTCTATGATTTTCACTTACTCAATTTTGGCTTGATATTATCCTGATAATAGTCCTTATCCTCTGAGTTTCTGTTTATCTATAAAAATCCTTTCATTTTCTTTCTGCGTCTAAGAATCTGTTTCTAATACTATCTGACCTCCCCAATATTTTAATGTGGGTTCACACTGTAAAAGGACTTGTAATAAGGCAAGATGCCACTTTATTCAACTGTATTATTTGCACACCAGTGTAAAAAAATAGAACCTTTCCTTTGAAAAAGTCTCCCTAAGACCAGGTGGTACTGAGCACTTTAACAAACTTTCTGCATCATCATAAATTTCTCACATACTTGGAAACAGATATAACTATTATGGATTGTAATTATAAGAGTTTATCTCCCCCGGTTAGATTATGGCAAAGGGTAAATGGAGTTCTTTATGTTCTACTGTAAAGGGTATGGGCAGATGGAGACAGTCCCTAGCTTTGTGCTCACAATTATTATAGCTCACGCAATGTAATGGAATAACCTATACATTAAGCCATTTAATGGAATAATACTTGAAAAAGTCCTTTAAACGTTTTGAAAAGGCTTAGTTTGGATCGACACTTCCAAAACAGGCTGAGTTAAGAATGTTAGTTTATCAATCAGGACGCAGGGTGGCGCTGCCGGCTAAGATTGTGAATAAAGAGTCCTAGAAAGCTCGCGTATTCCTTTGGGGCAAGACGGAACCACCACCACAAGAAGCTCTGCCAGCAGTACTGGGTTACCAACGAATTTGGGCAGCGATATTCTAAACGAATTTAAGATTACAAGTAACTCTGTGAGGATTCTACCAAGCAAGAAAATTGAACACCTCTGGCCTTTTTCTGGTTGCTGAAGGGGGACTGGATATAAGTACCCTGGCTCCAACATGGAGACACTAGAGAGAAGCCAACCCAACAGGCAAGTGACCACTTTTATTTTGACGGTATTCTTGTCTCAGGCTAGCCCTGCGCCTATTCGTTATTCTGTTCTGGAAGAAACAGAGAGCAGCTCCTTTATAGCCCATTTAACCAAGGACCTGGGCCTGGGAACTGGGGAGCTGAACGCCCGGTCGGCTCGGGTGGTTTGTGACGATGACAAGCAGCGCTTGCTGCTGGATCGTCAGACTGGAGATTTGCTTTTGAGGGAGAAACTAGACCGGGAAGACATATGTGGCTCCGTTGAACCCTGTGTGCTGCATTTCCAAGTGTTCCTGGAAACTCCAGTGCAATTTTTTGAAGGAGAATTATTAATACAAGACTTAAATGACCACTCCCCAGTATTCCCGAATAGGGAAATGCTTTTGAAAATACCGGAAAACAGCCAGCCAGGGACTGTATTTCCGTTGAAATTAGCTCAGGATTTGGATGTGGGTAGCAACGGTCTTCAAAAATACACTATCAACGCCAATTCTCATTTTCACGTTCTCACTCGAAATCATAGTGATGGCAAGAAATATCCAGATCTGGTGCAGGACAAAGTGCTGGATCGAGAGGAGCAGTCAGAGTTCAGCTTAACCCTAATGGCGCTGGATGGTGGGTCTCCACCTAGGTCTGGGACCAGCATGGTGCGAATCCTGATCTTGGACGTCAATGACAATGCTCCCGAGTTTGTGCACACTCCATATGAGGTGCAGGTTCTGGAAAACAGCCCCCTAGGTTCCCTAATACTTACAGTTTTAGCTAGGGATGTAGATGCTGGAAGCTTTGGGACTGTTTCCTATAGCTTGTTCCAAGCCTCAGAGGAAATTAAACAAACTTTCTCAATAAATGAAGTCACAGGAGAAATCCGACTGACAAAGAAATTGGATTTTGAAAAGATCAAATCCTACCACGTGGAAACTGAGGCTACAGATGGAGGAGGCCTTTCTGGGAAAGGCACTGTAGTCATAGAGGTGGTAGATGTGAATGACAATGCCCCTGAACTTACCATATCTTCACTCATCAGCTCCATCCCAGAAAATGCCCCGGAGACCGTAGTCTCTATATTCCGAATTCGAGATAGAGACTCCGGAGACAATGGAAAGATGATTTGCTCCATTCCAGACAATCTGCCATTTATTCTAAGACCGACTTTCAAGAATTTCTACACCCTGGTAACCGATAGCCCTCTTGACAGAGAAAATCAAGCCGAGTACAACATCACGATCACGGTCACTGACATGGGAACCCCCAGACTGAAAACTGAGCACAACATAACCATGCTGGTGACCGACGTCAACGACAACGCCCCCGCCTTCACCCAGACCTCCTACACCCTGTGGGTCCTCGAGAACAACAGCCCCGCCCTGCACATCGGCAGCGTCAGCGCCACAGACACAGACGCGGGCGCCAACGCCCAGGTCACCTACTCGCTGCTGCCGCCGCCCGACCCGCACGTGCCCCTCGCCTCCCTCGTGTCCATCAACCCCGACAACGGCCACCTCTTCGCCCTCACGTCCCTGGACTACGAGGCCCTGGGGGCCTTCGAGTTCCGCGTGGGCGCCGCCGACCGCGGCTCGCCCGCGCTCAGCAGCCAGGCGCTGGTGCGCGTGCTCGTGGCGGACGCCAACGACAACGCGCCCTTCGTGCTCTACCCGCTGCAGAACACCTCGGCGCCCTGCACCGAGCTGGTGCCCAGGGCGGCCGAGCCCGGCTACCTGGTGACCAAGGTGGTGGCGGTGGACGGCGACGCGGGCCAGAACGCCTGGCTGTCGTACCAGCTGCTCAAGGCCACGGAGCCCGGGCTGTTCGGCGTGTGGGCTCACAACGGCGAGGTGCGCACGGCGCGGCTGCTGAGCGAGCGCGACGCGCCCAAGCAGCGGCTGGTGGTGCTGGTCAAGGACAACGGCGAGCCGCCGCTGTCGGCCAGCGTCACGCTGCACGTGCTGCTGGTGGACGGCTTCTCGCAGCCCTACCTGCCGCCCCCGGAAGCGGAAGCGGCGGCCGCGGCGCCGGCCGACCCGCTCACCGTCTACCTGGTGGTGGCCTTGGCGTCGGTGTCGTCGCTCTTCCTCTTCTCGGTGCTGGTGTTCGTGGCGGTGCGGCTGTGCAGGAGGGGCGGGGCGGGCTCGGCGGGTCGCTGCCCGGTGCCCGAGGGCCACTTCCCGGGCCACCTGGTGGACGTCAGCGGCACGGGGACCCTGTCGCAGAGCTACCAGTACGAGGTGTGTCTGACGGGGGACCATAGAACTGGTGAGTTCAAATTCCTGAAGCCGATATTCCCTAACCTCTTGGTTCAGGACACTGAGAGAGAAATCAAGAAAAGCCCCAACTGTAGAAACAGCTTTGTATTCAGTTAAATGCCGTTATTTGGTTAAGTGAGCCTCTCAATTTTGTTAAGCCTAACTCACATTGCAATATTTTCCTCTTAAGAGATTGTACTGTTCCATAAATTTGTATATCTCTGTTCCAAACTTATGCATGTCTCTACTAAATTTTCCTTTTATAGTATTCATTGGATTTAGCATTTTTAGTTACAGTTGATATTATTTTTTCCTATTTTACCTTCGCTTGGTGATTGTTTTCATAACTATAAATTACTGAAGCGGTAAAAGAAATTCTATTAATATTTAAATCAACCTCTTTTAATGTCTTTTTAAGGAAATACTTTAAAGCTTTTGCGTAATCTTGAATTTCTGTATGTTTTTGGTGCTTTTCTTTACTTACATTTTCAAGGGCAGAGTGTTAGAAATTCTTTGTAGGTACCTAGAGCTTCCTGTTCACCATTCTACCAGGCTGTGCCCCACTAAATAGCCATGAGCATATAACTTGGTATACTTGTTTCTCATAAGTTGCACTTAAACATGCACTTTATTAAATTATTAATACACTACAATTGTGACCTTATCCCATTCTGAGTACCATATATGCTAGATATTATTCATTTGCTACTTACCTAGCACATTGTAATTGCTTCAGGAATACTAATATTAAAATAAAAATATTCTTATTTATAAATAAGAGAAAATCTTATATAATTTGGTATCAAATTCACTTCACTAAAATAAAACTAATTCACTGCATGATAACATACTTAAAAATCTTAGAACTTTAAGTAAACCCTAAATCCTTTAGAAGGACTCAAGAGGTAGAGGGCATCATATACTTCCCTGTCCTTCTTTTGCCCTATTAACATAAGTTCAAATGTAAGTATAAAGTATGTGTTTTTCTTGGCTCTCATACAGTTTTTCCATATCCTTCAAAAAAGGCATAATTTCTCTTGAGTTTTATTGATTGTGTTCTAGTCTGATTACTCTAAGTTATTTTGTAAACATGAGCAGCTTTTATCAACAAAATTTGATGTCCAAATGACCTTTTGTTTTTCAATGTAGCTTTTGTGTATTTTGCATAAATTTACTTTTTCAATTATGCTAACTTTCAATAATAAGCAGCATTGTTTTTTCCTTTAAGACAATAAGAATAGAAATAGAAATTAAGAAATAAACTTATCTGAATTATAATTGTCTTATGTTGTGCTCATTAGGCCAATTAAGATGATTTGTGATTTCTAACTAAATTTATATAGCTATACCTATAAGACCACTTATTGAACTTTTGGCACAATATGAGTAATTAGAGTTTGCTTTATAACCTAAGTATTTATTTTTAAATCTCAAGTGTCATCCTACTGGAATTTAATTATTTCGTGTTTCCCTGAATTACATTTTAAAAAATATAACAAAAAAGAAAAATTATTCTTTAAGTTATTATTAAAACATAGCTTTTAGCTTTCATCCAATCTAATATTTGAAATTAGAAAGTAATAAAAATATGAACAAAATCAAATATATGAAATTTAGTAGCCAGCTTTAATGAGTTCACCATTTAACATTAGATATTTAAATAGTTTTATATATGAGGACAAGAAATATGATTGAAGTTTTCAGCAATAAGTTTCAACATTATGAAAGTATAACTTCATGTTTTTGTGCATGCCAGGAAAGCCCAACTTTTATAATCACCCAAATGAGACTGGCCAAATAAACACTCAGAACCTACGTTTATGAATTTATATGAGTAAATTTATGAATTACTTTGTGTATTACCTTATAAATTGCTGTGTGTATTCATTAAGCATAGATCATTCCTTACCAGTTCAGGATCACTATCAGACTCTAGGATAGAACAGGTTAACATTTTAAAATTCAGTGATTATAATTTAATAGTAAATATAATCCAGATAATTTCCACAAAGTGAATACCTTATGAAAAATTGGACAATTCTTTTCTGCAAAACAAAAATAGAGAATGGAGGCCAAATAACTGGATAATAATACCCATTTGAATCACAGTTTCTCAAGTACTTCTATTATATTTTTGACATTTTTTACAATTCCTTTGTTGTTTTTATGCACAGTATATACTGAGTTTAATACATGCTGTTTTAGGGGCAGACATTTTACTGAAGGCTATATAACCCACATCACTTTTAAGACCTTGTATTTCTTACTGGATTTCTCTAGTGGCTCAGCAGTAAAGAACCCACCTGCCAATGCAGGAGATGAGGGTTTGATCCCTGGGTCCGGAAGATACCCTGGAAAAGGAAATGGCAACCCACTCCAGTATTCTTGCCTGAGAAATCCCATAGACAGAGGAGCCTGGTGGGCTACAGTCCATGGGGTCGCAAAAGAGTGGGACACAGAAAATAACATTTCTGACTATTAAAATTACAAAATATAGATTTTAAACAGTCTGATTTGGTAGAATTCTGTTTCCAGATAAGATGGATTATTTAAACCTGCTTTAAATTCAGAAATTATCAGTTTGAAGCAGCAGACTGCAGATGATATATAAAGAACTGAAGGGGCTAAGATTCCTGAAAAGGAAAATCCTTGGAACTGTGAACTGACTCCAGCAGTCAATTTGCCCTAAAGAAGTTTGCAAAGCTTAAGAAAAGGCCAGGGATAGAGTAACTTCAGCAGTCTTTGGCAAACTGGATGATTCAAGCTCATGGCCAGTTTTCCCCCCTCATGATATTTGTCAAATTATGGGACATTCCAGGAAAGAAGACCAAAATATTAAGTGGAAAATTACTGAAAAGCCGAGTGAAATTTTAATAGTCTTAATACATGAGATTGGGGTTTGTGATCTGCCCTCTGAGAGACTAGAGAATACCGAGATTCAAACTGAAAATTCTGGAGGGCCAGATACTTATTAGGACTGGGAAGAATCTTGACTAAGCACAGTGCCTGTTTTGAATTAAGGCAATTTGATTAGACATGTTTCTATCCATCTAAAGGGGATTCCCAGTGGCACTAGTGGTAAAGAGCCCGCCTACCAGTGCAGGAGACTTAAGAGACTCTGGTTCAGTCCCTGGGTTGGGAAGATCCCCTGGAGGAGGGTATCACAACCCACTCCAGAATTCTTGCCTGGAGAATCCCATGGACAGAGGAGCCTAGCGGGCTACAGTCCATAGAGTCTCAAAGAATCAAATATGACTGAAGCTACTCAGCACACACTATCAAGCTAACAAAGGAAAAGATGGACTCTTTCTGGAAGAATATAGTATCATCAGGACCCTGGAGAAGAGCTTTTTACATTAATAATCAACATTTGATAAAAATTACAAGGCATACATACAAAAAAATTGGTTGACATGAATAAAACCTAGAGGAAAAAACAGATATATAGATGATCTACAGATAAAATAGATACCAGAATTTACTGACAATGATGTTAAAATAAATATAACTAATATGTTAAAATAAGGAATATAGAAAATAGGTAAAGAGAATTTCACCACAGAATGAAATAAAATAGAAAATAATTTGGGGACTGAAAAATATAATACTTAAATTTTAGTAATATTAAATATTAGATTAATTTAGTAATATTAAATATTACTATGGCATAGTTGTCATAAAAGATTATAGGATTAGTGAATGCAAGACAGGTCAATATTAAATATCCAAATAGAAGCACTGAGGAATAAAATAATTTAAAATACAGGTAAGAACATTTAGTTACATGTAGAACATAATGAAAAACTCCAACACATACATGATTGTAATCCTGGAAGGACTAGGAATGGGGAATAAGGAATGTGTAAAGAAATGATGACCAATAATGGTGAAAAAACTTACCCCTCAAGATGTTCAGTGAACCTAATTAGAAGAACAAAAAACTGCACATCTAGAAATATCAGAGGAAGACTGCTAAAGTCAAAGAGAAAATCTTAAAAGCAATCACATGAAAATGACATTGCTTTTATTTTTTTAATTTATTT